TCAAAATAGCTGCATTTAACAAAGACACATATATACACATATATATAAATATATATTTGTGTCTAATTCTACAAGCTCTGATTTAAACTTTAATGTATATATCATGGCTTGTGGACTAAGTCACAATGGCTTGTTTCATATTTTGTGTTAAACAATGGCATTGTTAAATGCAGCTTTTTTGAATAAGTGACTAATAGAAGTTACATGTCACCAGAGGTGGTATTCAGCAGTATTCTGACCAGTTCTAGAGAACTGGTAGCAGAAATTTTGAGTAGTTTGGGGAACCGACAAATACCATCTCTGACTGGCCCCACCCCCATCTATTCTTTGCCTCCTGAGTCCCAGCTGATTGCCTGGGTGTTCTTTTGTTGCCTTCCGCAGGAGAATGGAGCTGGAAAGCAGGTTAGTGGGGTGGGGAGGGAATGGGATTTTGCAATAACTTCCCCTGGAGTGGGGAGGGAATGGAGATTTTACAGTATCCTTCCCCTGCTACACCACCAAGCCATGCCCACAGAACCGGTAGTAAAAAATTTTGAATCCCACCACTGCATGTCACCCTAAACCAAAACAAACATTACATTAATAGTTTAATTCAGTCAATCAATGTAAATTTGGCCACTGAATTCCTTAAAGATTTGCTGAGTGCTCCTGAAGAATTATCACCAGATTACTGGTAGTCCTCGACTTACAACCATTTATTTAATGACCACTTGAAGTTACAGTGGTACTGAAAGAAATGACTTATGATCAGTCCTCCTATCTACTGATCATCGCAGCCTCCTCATGGTCGCATGATCAGAAATTAGGTGCTTGGTAACTGGCATCTGTTTATGATGGTTGTAGTATCCTGGCCATTATCCCAGCCAGGCTTCTGACAAGCAAAGTCCATGGGAGAAGCTGGATTCACTTTATGACTGTGTGATTCACTTAACAACTGCATTGATTTGTTAACGACTGTGTCAAAAACATCATAAAACTGGGTGCAACTCACTTAACAACTGCCTTACTTAGCAATGGAAATTCTGGCCCCAATTGTGGTCATAAGTCGAGGACTACCTGTCCTATCATGCATTATACGGGGGTCTGGCCTTGAAGACTGTGTTGAAGCACCAATTAAAAGAAAGCAATTGTTAAGGGGAACTTAGTTGAATAGATCAACATACTTTTGTCTTAAACAAGTGAAAATAGTACTTGGTTTTTCTGAGCATGGTTTGAGGTTTTAGTTCTTTGTTTTAATTGAATCTAAAGCCCTGAACACCTCTCCAAGTCAAACAAAGTGCATAATAATGGCACCACAGTTTTGTCTGGATTGAGTTTTGGTTTATTTCCTACCATCTGTTTTATTATTGATTAGGCTTAGCAGTTCCTCAGCTTCGCTGAATCTGATAGTAAGGAGAACTGATGGAAGGAATGAAATAAGACATACGATCTCAGAGGTAGCAAATCTCTCCATAGTAGAAGACTGCATGTGAAAAGAGTCTTGATTGTCTGTGGAGAAAGAGAAGCAGGAACTAGAATGGTCTCACTGTCAGAGCTATCCTCTAAGGAAGGTCCTGGAATTGAATCCTCTGTTCAGTGCAGTAATACCGTGCATCCGGATGGCTTTCCACCCCACTCCTATGTCAAGGTGTGTCAGCTTTCTCAGCCTGACACCTCTGCTATGTGGATTTCTACTTCTAGAATGTTCAGCCTGATTCCAGCAAGAAATTCTGAGAAATGAAATCTGTAGATCCACAGCAGACTCAAAATTGACTTAGTCTTCCACCCTTCCAAGTTTGATAAAATGAGGACCCAGATTGGTGGGGGCGATATGCTGACATAAGTGCTATTGGTATTTCCCAACCTAGGCAACTTTTAAGATGTGTGGATTTCAACCAGGGGTGGGCTTCAAAAATTTTAGCAACGGGTTCTCTTCCTGGTTGCTCAGTGGGCATGGCCATGGTGGGCGTGGCCCAGTCGGCCTCCTGCACCATGATGTGTGGGAGGGCTTTTTTGCCCTCCCCAGGCTCTGGAGGCTTTTTTCAAGCCCCTGGGAGAGCAAAAACAGCCTCCCAGGGCTCCGGAGGCTCTCTGGAAGCCAGAAAAGGGCCTATTTCCAGCCTTCCCAAACTTTCGGGAGGCCCGTTTTTCACCCTCCCCAAGCCTCAGTGCATGTCTTTCACTTACCTGCATCCAAAACGGGCCACGTGGGGACTCCTGGGAGGGGCGGGGGTGGGGTGGGCAGGGCCAGCCAGGAGTGGGATTTGGGGGTTCTCCAAACTGTGCAGAATTTTAGCTAGAGGTTCTCCCAAACCAGTGCAAACCCCCAGCAGCCCATCCCTGATTTCAACTCCCAGAATTCTTAGCAATGGCTGTACTGACTAGGGAATTCTGGGACATGAAGTCCACACATCACAAAGTTGTTTAGGTTTATAAGCACTGGTTTGGATCTAGGTTGGGAAAGTTGAAGCACATAGTGTATATAAAATACTTTAGTACCTGAGGTAGAAAATCCTGGGATTGTTTGCATCTTGTCAACCCTCCTGGGTAAACCAGTCAGGAAATACAACCAGATGAGCTAAATCTACTTTATTGTAAAGGTACATTAGCAGAATCTTATAAGTCTGAAATCTTCTGCCAACACTTTTAATTAATCCATTAGATTGGGTCTTCCCTAATTTTCTTTCTCTGACCATTAAGCAACTGAGGGCTTTTCCTTTCTCTTGTCTGATTATTTCCTGGGAAGCATGTCTTCCCTTTGTCCCTCAAGGTCATTTCTCACATGCCAATACACAACCTAAAACGATATATGGAATAGCTGCTGAGTAGCTGTGACACTTCAAATCAACAGCTTGAGACCAGCCTAATGGAAGGACGAATCTTCCTCAGGGAGTCTCCATAAATATCTCTCAGTAGCAGAGAGGAGAATTTTCATTCAAATAGGTTTGTATCAGTCAATTTGATATTGCCACGTGTTAGAAAAAAAGATGCTGAAAGATCACCCTTATTCAGTCTGGTGTCTTCTAAGTCCTTTAGAAACTGCTATTTAGAACCCACAACCTCTAAAATCAAAAATTGGAAATCTTAGATGCCCTAATCCTAATGTATCTAGGTAATACTACATTGAACCCAGGTAGCTGACAGTATGATCTGTTTGAGGGGATGGCGGAGTGTGGGGGTGGGTTATGAAATTTGTGAGATTTTTTTTTACGAAAGGTACATTTGAAAAACAATGCCACCTAGAGAGAGATATGGCTTCATCTGCCCATAGATGACAACCTATTTAGTAGGACTGTTCAAGCAATTTAGAAGGGTGCTTCGCTCATTGAAATAAGCCCTCCCAAGTTGCCAGCTTGCACAGTTTTGACTAGCATGCTGCCATCTGGTCAAGGAAGAACAAAGAGCTTAAATTCTATGCTGGGCATAGAGCAGGGAACGAATACAGCCAACATGCTCATTTGCTTTTATGTAATTCTTGTTATCTGCAACAACTAGACTGGCATTTCAATACATAGCATTTAGATTGAACGTTACAAACAGCTGGTCTCAAATTGAGGCTGATGGAATGTTAAGGATTACTAGGAATGTGCTTTTAAAATGTTTCCCAACTAGATGTTCAAAGGTCAGAAGTCCTTCATCTGCTGTAAGTGTGCCGATCTACTTAATTGCTGCAAGGATAATTCTGAGAGAGCTTCAGACTCTTACCTTATAAACATTGAACAGCTGCCTATTAACAGAAGCTTGAGCGTTTTGGAAGTAGCACCTTACAATCTGTGCAGCATGCAGTATGCTATGTGTTCGTAAGAGACCTGCTCCACGAAAATGCTTCCTATTCGGTTCCTTCCCTCTCCCAGATAAAAATATTTTATGAAGAGCACTTACACCTGGATGATGAGATTCGCTACATCCTGGAAGGAAGTGGATATTTTGATGTTCGTGATAAAGACGATAAGTGGATCCGGATTGCTATGGAGAAGGGCGACATGATCACACTTCCTGCTGGCATCTATCACCGATTTGCACTGGATGAATCTGTATGAAACAGGTTTAAAATAAAATAAAATAAATAAAATAAAATCCACATGGAGTTGAGGCAGATGCAGACCAGCATATAAAAACATAGCTCTCATATACCTCGGCTATGAATCACTAATGTAGAAATGTGTGGTTAGAATCTTGAAGGAGCCTCTACAATTTCATACCCCATTTTAACAATTTTAGCATCTTACTGATGGGAAATCATTGATTTGGTATTGGTGTGATACCTTGCTTGAAATCATAGCCCCGTGTTGAAAACTTTCTTGACTTCCAAGCAACTCTCTGGGCTTAGAAATCAATTCCTAAGGTTCAGAGAAGGATAGTATTTGAGCACATATGCTTTCTCGGCTCTGAACTGCTATCTTTATAGATAAATGGAGCACTTGTGTCTCCAGCCTTGTCATAAAATCCATCTTTAGTAAGGGATTGGTGTTACCATAGCAACTATCCATTGGAGCCTCAGGAGATCTGCTCTGCTTTTTCTGTTGTTTGGCTTGTTGTGTGGGATACAAAGCATTCTGAACAGAAGGTTGAAGAAGCTAATATTTTGCTGTGTCTCTATCCTGAGTCGCCGTAGATTGAAGACCAGTGGATTGTGGGATCCTTTTGTTGGTTTTATTACATAGGGAAAATATGCATAAGGCTGTTTTTCTGAATCCCAGCCTTTGTGTTAGCCACTGTGCTGCAATGTGTTTTATTTTATTAAGATTGCTAGGCGTTCTATTCCATTCCATTTCAAAACCTTAAACCCGCCCCCCTCCACAATGCCTCCTAAATAATACAACGCAAACACACAATTCTGACTTTTAAAAATGTCTGAATCCAACACAACTTGCTATTTCTAATGTCTCTGATATTATATTGTTTAATAACTCAAACACACAGTGGCCTACCTAAGCCACTGAAATTTTTTAAAAGTCTTAATTTAAATATTAAGCAGCTGTTGCTAAAATGCAGCTACTGATCGGGGCTAACATTTAAAAATATAAATCAATAATTCTGTGGTAATATCAAGGCTAACGTGGTTATAGCATGAGCTGTCGATCACAAGCAAGAGACTACATTCCATTTTAGCTCATGTGATGAAATGAGCTATTTCTTACCCAGAGCTCCTGCTAAGAAAGAAAAGAGAGAGAAAAAGAAAGAATGTAAGAAAGAAATTATTTATTTTCTTCACTGACAGATGAAAGGTTGTGGTCTGAAAGCTTCTTTCCCTTTCTGAAATGAAGCTCTCCATTTTTTCTAGCTAAGTAGGTTAGAGATACTGACTAGGGTGAAACTAATGTTAACAGCTCAGGCTGGCCTAGGACTTTGTCCCTGGTAATCCAATTTCAAATCTGCTTCCAGATTGCAGTTCAGTATAGTGTGTGAACTAAGCCATCCTTTGCCCAGTTACTTCCTGTATTCTCACAATAGTTGAACTAGCAAAACTAGCAAACTGGTTTTAGAGTAGCCTATTGCATCGTGATTTGTAGAAAGAAAAAGAGTATGAATTCCAATCTTGGTTGGATTGTCACAAAGATGTAGCTTAAGAAGCCATAAAGACTTTCAACATTTATGCAGTTAATGGCATGCTTGCCCTTGTGAATTGAGGGTTCAAACTTAACAGCATTTATGCAGAAGTAGATGGCCTCTTGAATTCTTGGCGACTTAAAGCTAAGATTACCGGGTTTGGGTTTCAAAAATTGCATGACAACTGGATGGCTGCCATAAGTTAGCTCCCTGCAATTATTTCCTGACATCTGTTGGTTACCTGGATTTTCTTAGTCCAGATTTGGTACTCCTGTTTTACACTCCAATAAGGGGATACTGAATAACAATTTGTGAGTTATTCCATGGACACTTTTCTACATCAGGGTAATAGTCTATGATCCTCCAGGTGTTGAGTCACAACTTCCAGGTGTGTCCTGTGCTTTCAAACCCTGTAGACTAAGGAATATCATACACAAAGCAGTAATTTCTCTTAAATGGCCGTAGTTTTCCTGCTCCCATGCTTTGAAGAACCACATCACACCAACTTTTGCTTGAGATTATATGCGCGAAAAGCACCAGCTGTTCAAATTCAGTTTTTTCCAGACTCAGGAACAAGGCCAATAAAATGATAGAACTCTAAATCTGCCAAATGTCCAAAGAACTTCTTTCCCTTATGGGACTTTGAATATATTGACTCTGGTACCTGGCTGAGTTGAAGTGATTTATATCACTATTATTTCCTTCACAATGTCAATATTACAAACCAGGTAAAGAAAATCAGACTATGGGTTTTAGCTATATTTTTAAAAGTCTGGATATGTTCTAAGGCTTGAGTAAAACCACTCTGATTCTGTTCTTAAGTACTATATTTGCTACTGCTTTTAAAAAAAATAAAAAAAAAAATAAAAATCTCTTAGTGTTTGTGGAAAAACCACCCGAAGACCATTTTGTCCTTAATTCTTTCAGCCTTTTGATAGTTTGAGCCACATTTTTTAATGAAAGTGAATTATATACTGAGTGAGAATTCTTGTGTTTCTCCCCTCAGAATTATGTCAAGGCAATGAGACTGTTTGTTGGAGAACCAGTGTGGATTGCTTACAACAGACCAGCTGACCATTTTCCTGCTCGAGCACAGTACCAACAGTTTTTGTCACAAATGGTACAATAAACCAGTAGGACATGAGGCATGGAACCACCTGCAACATCTGTAACATTAAAATGGCAAAGTGGTTATGTTAACAGCATCTGCAGGTGATAAATCTTTGATTTCCCCTCTCTCAAATATGAATTTTTAATATCAAATTTTGTCCTTGGATGAATGGATTTTTACTTACAATAGTGATTTATGTAGTTTGCAGATCTCAGTTGAGAATATCAATCCTTGCTCCTCTTACAAGCAATACTTACCTGATTCATTCCTGCATTAACTGAAAGCATTATTATTTTTGATTGTTGCTTTAATGTGGTAATGATAATAAAATAATATTCTATCTTTTAATTGTCTTTGGCCTTTTTAAGGAAACTTGTTGGGTGCTTATATCACCTACTCAGGGATTCATCTGTGTAAGATGCATATATAAATGCTCCCACTGCATGCTTGGGTTTGCAATCGCTGTATAAATGGAAAATATACAAGGGGTCATGAAAATCCAGGTATGAAGTATGAAATGTGTTTTCAATTTGTCAGTCCTACAAACAAATTGGACAGACATAGCTTTATCAGCTACAATAAACAAAACCCAATCAGTCAATTCTGTGGCATTTAGTGGAACTTAAATCCACATAAATGGCCAAACTGGATGTGATGGATATGGCTGTATTTCCACACAGATTAATTTTTGCTTAAGTGAACTATATTTACTGAATTAACTGAGTTACCAAAATTTGCCCAAGTGGCTGAATAAAGTAACCTTGCCAACTGTGTTTGTAAATGAGCCGCTAACCAGCCAACAGTGTTTTAATCTAACATGTGAGCCTGGTTGATATGCAACGAGGATATCCTATGGCCGTGATGGCGAACCTATGGCACACGTGCCACAGGTGGCATGCAGAGCCATTTGTGCCGGCACGCGAGCTGCAGGCGAACTTACCCCATTGCGTATGTGTGTGCCTCATAGCTGATTTGAGGCCTTTTTCAGCTTCCCAGAGGCTTGAGGAAAGCCTTTGCAGGCCAAAAAATAGACCCGTTTCATCACTTCCGGTATTTCCGGAAATACCGGAAGTGACAAAACGGGCCTATTGTTCAGCCTGCAAAGGCTTTCCTCAAGCCTCTGGGAGGCCGAAAAAGGCCTCAAAGAGGCAGAAAATCACCTGGGAAGTGAAGTGCAGGTAAGAGGGCAGCGGCTGTGGCGGGGATTGCGTGTGCAGGAGCAGGGGGCACGCACATTGCCTTCTGGGTTCTGGCACGCAAGCGCGAAAGCGAAAACATGCACACAAATTTTGGCACAGGAGCCCAGAAAGGTTAGCAACTGCTGTCCTATGTTTTATAAAATATGTAGCAGCTGTGGAGGAACTCTGATGCTACAGAAGAATCATGATAAAAGTTAATCAAAACATTAATTGCCTAAAAATGAAAGTCATCTCTTAAAATTATATTGAATTAAAAGTAATATATTTCCATTTTCAATTATTTAAAAAGTTGTTAGGCTTAAGATGTTTGGGGTGGGGCTGAAGCTGCTTTTCTGTGCTAGGGCTGATGCTTTGGAGCAGCCTCCTTTCTGGTAGAGATTACTGTAGGCCAGTGTTTCTTAATCTCAGGAACTTTTAAGATGGATGGCTTCAAGCCCATACATCTTAAGGTTGCTGAGATTTGGAAAACAGTGGATTAAACCAAAACACTCTCTGTTTTTCAGAAATACTTAAAAGAGACTTGAACTCTTGAACATTCTCCCTAGGCTTATGTATGACATCATCTTTTTTCTGTTCCAATGGCAGCTTTTAGGTTTAGTGCATAGGTGTTTTAATTTGTTTTATGATCTATACAAGATGCCAAGATTCCTTTGATTGTGACAGGGTAAAAATGTAATAACCGAGCCTGAAATCGTGGCTGCATTTACACAATTTACTTACCTATAGCTAACCAACTTATATATACCTGACCACATTTCTTGGATTTATTTTGTTATATTTATGTTGCCTATTTTGACAAGACAACTCTATCTAGGCAGCTTATTTGGACAACACGCTGAACTATACGAGTTGGATTCGCTTAGCTAGGCTAAAATGCAGGGGGGTGGGTTCAGTTCCAAATTGTGTGAATAACCAAATACATAATATCAACAGTATTTTGTTTTAATTTTCAAATGATCTAGGCCTCTTTTCTGTAAGCCCACTGAAATGCAGATATTTTCTTATTGATGCATTCATTAATTGCCCAGTTCTACAGGACTGACAAATCCCTGATTTAGATTCTTCTCACTCTCCCTATTGCAGTAGTTTCTAAAAGTCAATACATCTCTATGGACAGAGAGATGCTGCTGAACTAAATGAGAAAATGCACAAGTAACCATACAGATGAGTGAATCATTGGTGCTTCAGCGGAGCAACAAGTGGGAGCCATATTTCTGCTTACCTGCCTTCTAAGAAGGTTGCTAGTGTGTTCCATTAGTTCCATGTCTGTTAGGTATGTAAAATGCAGCGTTTGATTTAAAAAAAAAGAGCATGAATATATTACCAAATATATTACTGCAGCGCCTTCAAAATTATATACTAGCCTTAAAGCAATCATCTTTTTTCCTGCGATTATGTAGCTCCTTTAAAGGGTTCCAATATTCTTTGCTTTTATGGAAAAGCAATCACTGCCCTGACTTGGAGTCTGTTTCAATCTACGAAAAATGCTAAGGTTTTACACTAGGAATTCCTGAGCTTGGTGAAGAATGACATCTGAAATGGCTGGAATTCGACTATGAAACTCAAAATACCTACTAGATGGCAGCAAAAAGCTAAGTTACTTGTATTGTTACTTTACTGCCACCTAGTGGTGTTTTACAACCCAGATCTCATAAATCCAGCACCTTTTTAGTTAATTTACAGCCAAATTGTGTGGAAACTCCTACCAAAAGCCTAGTCTCTTGAAATGTTGCACAAAAGCTATGGCATAAAAAAGAAAACACATGTCTACTCTGCAATCATGAACAAGCCAGGCCTCATTTAAATTTTTAAAATGATGATGTCCTCTTCCCTGGAATGAACCCAGCTTGCTTTCACCTTGATTTCCATGGCAATCAGAGAAGGAACATGTTTCCTCTTGAAAGAGACTATTTTTTGGTTGGATTTGCAGCACCTCCATTCCTGGTCTCTAAACTTAACAGTGGCGTTTGTAGGTTATGATGCACCTTAAAATACTGTGTATGAATTTAAACATACATCTGGTAATTTATTTTAAAATGGAATCCTTTTAGTTTCTATATATCTGTTATGCTCTTAATTGAACCATAGTTCTCCATGGAGATTACAACAGAACTAAAAGGGTAAAAACAGCAGAATGAGAAATGTTTTTACTTGATGAATTTTTACTTGTCACATAACTGTGTGAAAGATACAAGATTGTGGACAGCAGAAGGCTTTTCAAAAACAAAAACCAGCTGGCTGACCGAAAAAAAAAAAAACCCAGGCAGGACTGCATGCAATCAAGTCCTGTCCTTTTGCAGTCACACTGGCACATCCAGAGTGCGGCTGTTTCATTGTGCCTGAGCCTCCGTCCATGTTTTTGTTATTTTCCCATTTTGCTTGCTTCTTGGGAGGAAAAAAAATGGTTGGCCATGATGAATAGCCCTTTAAAAACCAGAAGAGCACTTGAAGACCTTGGGAAATTGAGACTGCTGACTGGTTTGAAGAGGTAAAGATTGGTGCTCTTAATTAGGCAAGCAAAGAGGCGCTGTTTACTTTGGTTTGACAGCCGCTGCGTCTGCCCACTCTCAATCAAGAAGCAGCTTGAAACCCCCAGGACATTTGCTTGTTCTTTTAAATTTCAGAATTAAAAATTTAGCATCTACGAAAGGGCTGGTGCCTACTAGGGCATGGAGCGGTGGTGTGGTGCCAGTTGTCTGTGAAGCCCATCTGCTAAGTTCCTGCTGTTCCAGCCCTTGGCACACTCTGTCTGGTCCGACAGAAATCCTCTCTTGGCTGTCAGGCAGAGATTTCAATGCAGAAATATTTTTTTTTCCTGAGAGCAAAACAGCACCAGGCCCTTGTGCTCTGGACGAAAATCAGCCACTCTTTTATGGACAGTTGCCATTGTTGCTCTCTTTTGCTGATCCTAAGTCTTGGGATTATATAGGAACATTGCTGATAGGTTGGAGTTGAAATAATGAGTCAAGAGGAGTATTTGGGAGTGGGATACTTCCCTTGACATTCCTATATACTGGGCAAATTAGAACACTGTCTTTAGAGGATTTTTTTTTTAAATGGAATAGACAAGCTGATATACTTGATATTTTGGCTATGTCCCCCACTACTTCTGGCTGCTGGTCACTGGATTAGCTGAGTATGAGGAGTCCAAACTGTCTGTCAATTCTATTCCCTGTCCCTACCAAATCTCCCAGCAGCACCTGAATGCTTCAACTTAAAAAAGGAAGAACTTAAAAAGTTTTTAAGAACTATTGGCATAAGAACCACAAAATTCTACAAAATCATGAAGTGACTTAGCAGTATACAAGAACCGGGAACTGAGTTTGTACATCACATTAAGCTATGTGATTTGTATTGCTTGGATTTAGAGTGCAGTGCGACTCTAGCTATTAAGTTCTTCAAATCATGGTTTACAGCATAGCATATTATGTGAACCCACCTAATCATAGTTTATTGCAATCCATTTCCTACTGACCAGTGTCGAGCAACATGTAATAAAGCAAGTTGCTTTACTTGCAGTGACTGCAAAGAAGATGTTGACAGATAACTTCTGTTGTTGGGGGGAGGATAAGTTGAGCCAGTAAGGATTGTAATTTTATACGGATTTTTATTCAAATCTATGGTTGCAAATAAATGGATTAACTAATTTACTGCAATAAACCATGGTCATACAAATTGAAGTTCAGCATAACATGAACTACAGCAGAAATCTAAGATGATAAATATACAGTATATGCCATCCAACTTCAGCAACTCTGTGCAGTTTACAATTAAAACATTTAAAAACACAAAAACAGTACAAAAGAACAATAATGGTAAAGAATAAATCCAGAGGGAAGCAGAAAGCAAGCATTAGCCATTCTTTCCAAAAGCTGGGTGAAGAGCCAAGTTCAGGTGCTTCAGGTGCTAGCGATGCCCACCCCATTTTAGCAAAGGGGCAAAAAAGTCCGAATATGTCATGACTCCGCCGTGAGGACATGAATTTGACACCCCTGATCTATATCTATCACTTCATCCATCCATCCAAATACTCCTACTCCCTTCTTCCTCTTCTTTCTTCTCCTCCACCTCCACCAGGCAAATGGGGTACAAGTATATTCAGTCAATGACAACGAATAAATAACCCAAAGATTATCTTTGAAATCT